GAAAGCTTAAATTCTTTAATATATTTGTTGTTTGAAAGCAAGTCAAGAAGCTTGTTGTGTTACAAGAATGGTTAATCAGTTAAAAGAGCAAAGAACAAAAGGCTAAGTGAAAGTAGAAAAATGCTAACTAATTAACATGGAGTCTTAACTAGTTAAGGGAAAATTGGACACTATATAAAAAGCAAGGCAAAAAAGCCATAATCAGTTAGTACCAAGATTAACTAATTAAGAAAGTGTTGGAACTTAAAGACGAAAGCATGCTAACTATTTAAGCAAATGGATTAATCAGTTAAAGCTCATTAAAGTGCCAAAATTTAAATTCAAAGTGAAGTTGACCATTAAAGAATGCCAAATAAGAGATTTCAAATTTGAAGATATTTGAATTAGTTTATGTTAATTTCAACCGGTTAAAGTTGAGAAAGAACAACCTCAATCAGTTAAAGGGGGGACTAACCTATTAAAGGAATATTGCTTGTTGGAGAAGTTTGAAAACAATAATGTTTTTAATCAGTTAGAGTTTCCCTCAATTAGTTAGCACAATGAAAAGAGCTATCAAATAGTGCAAGTTATAGAAAGCTTAATCAGTTAACACAATGAAGCAGGTTGCTAGAGAGAAAAGCTTTAACTAATTAACACTCACTTTTCATCAATTTGAAAGTCACTGCCAACAATTTGAAAGAGTTGTTAGAAGATAAAATAAGTGCTATTTTTGCTCCAAAACTATTTCTAACAACTAGAAATTGCCCTCCAAGTATAAATAGAGGTTCAAATGGTCAAAACTAGCATAGAAAAGCCATCCAAAGTGATTTTGAGCTTACAAGACTAAAAACTTTCTCTTTACACTTGTATTTCACTCTTATCATATGAAAAAGTGTTTGAGCTTAACTTTGTACATCTTAGATCAGCTAAGTGATCAATTGTACTTCATCTTTTCTCTATTTCTTGTCTACTTAAAGTGTGAGAAACACTTTAAAGGGTAAACTAGGCTTAGGAAAGCTTAGGGAAGCTTGTAGGGTTTTAAGCTTAGGTTAAAAGCTCACCTTGTAAAACCTAGGTGGAAGTTGTCACTTTCACTAGTTTAGTGAAGCTAGGTTGAAAATCCTTGATTGAGAGATCAAGGTAATGGATATAGGTCAAAGGTAACCAACCACTATATATACTTATGTTTGGCCCACTTTTCTTTACTTTTTTTTTACGTGATGATTTTCTGCCTTTACAAGTTTTAAACTATTCTTTTCAAAATCCTTCAAAAGTTCTTCAACCTTAAAAGTTTTCATCAAATTTCTTTAAAAGTTCTATTCAACCCCCCTTTTTAACACTTATTTAAACAAACAAATGGTATCAGAGCATAACCTTTGAAATTTATGCTTAACATCATAAAGGATAAATCCAATGGCTAGCCAAAGTTCTAACTTTATAGAAGGTCAATCCATAAATAGGGCATCTTTATTTGATAGAACAAACTATCAATTTTGGAGTACTAGGATCTCTATTTATATAAAGGCTATTGATTATGAAATGTGGATGCCATCAATAAAGGTCCTTATGTTCTTACGAAAATTGATCTTGTAACTGGTGAGAAAACTCATAAAACTAGAGATAAGTGGACTAAAGTTGATATGAGAAAAGTGCCAAATTTAAGCTTAACATTCTAAGGGATAGATCCAATGCCTAGCCAAAGTTCTAAAGTTGTAAAAGGTTAATCCACAAATAGGGCTCTTTTATTTAATGGAACAAACTACCAATTTTGGAGTACTAAGATCTCTATTTGCATAGAGGCAATTGATTATGAAATATGGATGTCATCACCAGTCCTTATGTTCTTACAAAAATTGATCTTGTAACAGGTGAGAAAACTCAAAAGACTATAAATGAGTGGACTAAAGTTGAAATAAAAAAAATGCAAATAAACTTCAAAGCCATAAATACTCTCCATTGTGCACTAAATTTCAATGAGTTCAACAAAGTTTCTATCTGTACAACAGCTAAACAAATCTAGGAGAAGTTGAAGATCATTCATGGAAGGACTTCACAAGTTAAAGAGTCCAACATGACCTTTTTCACTCACAGTTACAAGATGTTCAAGATGGAACCAAGAGAAGACATCACAACCATGTATGATCGATTCACCAACATTGTAAACAAGCACAAGCAACTTGGGAAGGAAATTCTAGAAAATGAAATAGTTAAAAGGTTGATTAGAAGCTTATCAAAGATCTTAATGTCATCACCTTAGTTGAGATATATGGCTCACTCCTCATATATGAGCAAGAGATAAAGGAAGAAGAAGAAAGGGAGGAACTAAAGAAGAAATAGAAGTAAGAGCCAACTTTTGCTTGATGGAAAAAAATGAAGAACTTGAATTAAATTTTGATTTATATAATATTTTCTATGATGAATTTGAAAATGAGTATGATTGCTTAGATGTTGAATTTGATAAATTAGCTTTAAACTATAAGGTTTTGAAAAAGAAAGCTTCATCTTTAAATGATGAATTAGAAAAGAATAAATGTGATTTCAAATGTGCTTTTGATTAAAGAAATGTTTTTCAAATTGAGCAGGAGCATTCCAAAACAGATTTTGAATCTTTGAAGTTGGAATTAAAGAGCAAAAATGAGACCTTGCATAAGGCATTGGATGAAAATGTTCCTCCTAAAGCTTTAATAGAAGAAAGATCAAAATTGAAGTTGTACAAAGAACAAAACCAAAAAGAAATGTTGTTTTTGGAAGGAAAAATGATGCATCTTCATTCCATTGTTATGCTTGTGGAAAAAGAAATCATGTATTTTATGATTATTATCATAAGGGTAATAACCTCCCTAAAACCAAGATAGTTTGGGTACCTAAAGGTTCTTATGTGATTACTAACCCCCAAAGACCTATTAAAGTATGGGTACCTTTGAAAAAAAATGAAAAATTGGTTTGTAGGTTGAGCAAGAGCAAAAAAAAAAAGAATGTTTGAAAGCTTAACCAAAGGTGAGGCAGCCTGGGTACTTGGATAGTTACTACTCAAAGCACATGAATTGAAATGAAAATTCATTTGTCAAGTTTGATAGAAAGAAAAGCGATAGTGTCTTTTTTAGTGATAACTCCAAAAGTAGCATCCAAGGAATTGGAACCATTGGTAACTCTTTTTGCTCTCCAATCAAGCATGTTTTACTTGTTAAAGGCCTAAAGCATGACTAATTGATCATTTTTCAACTTTGTGATAAAGGATTTTGAGTTTTCTTTTATTCTCATGTATGCCATGTGATTGATATTGATTTAACAAAGTTGTATTCATTGGCAAAAGGTTTGAAAATA